CAGCCAAAATTTGAAAATTTCGTTTTTTCTTCAGCTGAACATTCACATAGAAAAACAATGCACAGTCTGAAGAGTGCGGGAAAATGTAATGGTGGAGTAGTTTTGTCAGCAAAGAGCAGTAGGAGGGCTGATGACCGGTGTCTATGTGTTAGCTAAAACATAATAATTTGTGGAAAAGTTGCAAATCATCGAAGAACACTTATACTTTCAACAGGGTAGTTGTGACATTTAAAAAAAAAGTGTAACATTAGAGAATTGCTTCAACCTAAGGGTCAGGGCATAACAAAAAAAATGAAATGATGGATCTGATCGCAAAATTCAACAATGCCTCCTTACAGTTTTGGAAATCAATGACGTTTCCAGATTACTACAATTAAAAAATCTTTTAACAACATTTTTTGCGATAAATAAGTTGAAGAATATGATATCGATAGTGATGAAACTTTAGATGTGTTACAGTCGTTAAAAATTGTTCAAGGGTGTCAAGAACTAGATGAAGAACATAATCTGGAGTGGGTAAATATTGACACGAATGTTTTGATTCCTAAGAACACATGATCGACGATGATCTAGCCGATAGTGTAACCAAATTAATACCTGGACCAAGTTCACTCCAGGAATATAGTGACGACGATATAGAATATGACGCTCCAGAACCAGTACCTGAGAATTCCTAAGAGTTCTGGACAGATAATATTTTCTCTCTGACACAATCATACTTTAGGTAAATACCTCCTTTCATTAGTAAACATACTTTTGTTATTATTATTATTTTACTATATTTTGGGTACGCTGTGCAGCGAGAAGAATTACACTTCTATATCATTTTCCCGCAGATGCAACTCATAAATTGTTTAATGACAATTTTACTTGATATTGGTTTCTAGTGTACCAAATTTGTAAAATATTTAGTATTTTTTTACACGAATAATCATATTTATTCTACACTCAGTGGCATAAAAAACGCATCACCTAAAATGATGACCAGTTTCAAAGTGTAATAACTTCTGCCGAACAAGCTTCGTTATCTTTTAGAGCTTGTAACTTTGGTGTTAACAACAATAGAAACTTGAACAATAAACAGAAGTGATTAGAACAAACAAGACTACAAGCTCCTTATGTTTAAAATTAATATAGTTTGTCGGTGCACCACACAGCAAGCTTCAAAGTGTAGGAAGAAAACACGTATTAACGTTATTCACCATTGCTGAAATTGAAGATATACCAAAATCAGGAAGGTACGTACAGAAATATTGGCACAGGGTAGACCTTTCAAATTAAAAAAACTTTATTCAAATGGAACAATACGTTCAAAAGTTATTGCAGTTTGAAACTGGTCATCATTTTAGGTGATGCGTTTTTTATGGCGCTGAGTGTAGTATATATGTGATTAAGTTTATTCCCAATTTCATCAAAACATCCTGGATACTATGTAAGCATTGAAGAAAATACCCAAAAAGTATTATTTAATCCCACGCAACAAGTAATTCTATCTACACCATTTAAAATCATCAAATCTCAATTATTGGAAATTAATGAAAAATGTCGCTGAAACACGTAATAAGTATTGTGGAGGGGACAATTTTATGCAAAAATTGGTTCACCCACAATAACCCCCTGCCCACAGGAGAGACCTTAATATACTCTATTCAAGTAATACCTCGTTTTAAAAGACATTTGAAACACTACATTTTGGCGATTAGTTTCTTTTAAATTGATTGCCACGTTTTCTAGATTTTTGAAAAAAACTTACTTTGTTTTCTTTTAATTTTAAGTTTAAATGTCTATTACTCAAACTCACTTTAACTGCTTGAAAAGTTTGTGAAAGTCTTATTTTTGTTTTGAAAGTTATTTAAGAATTAAAATATTTTTTTGACAAACATTGGTGTAGCCGTTGGTAAAATCTACGGCGTACATTCTCAAAATTCATTTGTTCTTCAGATTGCAATAATCCTTTGATGAAATTGAGGTTGAGGGGTAAACACAACAGAGCAATATTGGGTCATGTTGTCGAGCACATTGATTTTCGGTTCTGTAAATTAACACAATTTCAACCCTTTCCTGCCAACTTCTTCTTTCTCCTTGTGTATTTAGGAGTTTAGTCGTCTATTTAGCCGTTTGGAAGGTTCCATAAGCTTCATCTTTCTCTAGGTCTTCCGATATCTGTATCTATCCTGTATGTTTTTCTGATGTTCTCAGTTCTTTTGCTATCCATTAGTGTTTTACCAGCTACTCTACGCACTATTTTCATTTCTGCAGTCTCCAATCTTTTTGTTTTGGATGTCTCGGTTTGGGTTTCTACCGCACAAGTTAGTATAGGTCTAATTGCAGTTTTGTAGATCCAGGCTTTGGCTTTAGTTCAAATGCCATATTATGTAATTTAGATACGCCGTTGGCCTTTGCGCTCCTTCAGTTTGATTACTTATTTCCGTCTCAACATTACAATGTCATTTAAATTTTCCTTTTCTTAAAGTATTATTTTATCATCGACCACAAGTTTGCATCTGATCGGTGTAGTATCGGTGTAGATCGGAGGTAGTCATAGATATTATTTTTGCCGCTGATTTTGTCATAATAATTTTTCATCCTCCGTTCTCCGCCATCATCAGTATAGCATAGGATTTTCACTCCCCCATTTCCAATTTTGTATCCTCTTACTTGTTTTATTATTTCATCCACTACGTTGGCTTTGAGAGTCCTCACGGCAAGTGTAATTTTACGGATCTGTTCAGTTAGTTCGCCATTTATGTTTGCATGATTCTTATTTTCTGAATATAATATACTTTCTAGTGTTTTAAAGATGTTTGTCTTATGACAAAGATGGTGTCTGTACAGGATATCCCTGACCTGAACAGTTGTTCTTCATCTGCAGACATTCATTTATTTTGTTTGTTATGATCCTTGTGGTAAATTTGACATTGGTGCAGAGTTAATTTATTCGTTTGTAGTTTTCTGGCATTTTTTATCGCCCTTTTTAAATACTAGTATCGTAATGCTGATCCGCCATTCAGCTGGGATTCTCCGTTGAGGGAAAGTTTCTGTGATTGAAATAGTTTATTGTTGATTTCGGTTTTCTGCCTCGTATTTTAGTTACCCATTGGATGTTATGTTTGCCTGGACTCTTTCTGTTGTTTACGTTTTGGAGTGCTATTCCTTTCTTTTCTATCACGGCCTCATCATTGGTAATATCTCTGGTGCATGTATCTCTTGTAAATCTCTCGAAATACTTAAAGTTAATAAATTACTTTGCTTCTATTCTTTTATTTCCAATAAATTGCCAAATTTGTTGTCTGGCTAGTGATTTAGTGTCATTACGAATTCTGGAAAATTGTAAACCATTAATTTTTATTTATTTAAATAACTTTGGGTTGGAACACCTGATTAACCTGTTAATAACACCTGATTGAAACCATTTTCTGTTTAACCCTAATTTATCTCTTTAAGATTTTAGGGGTAGCTTCCGGGGGTAGGGGCTTAATCTGGGCGAGTCAATATTTCCATAAAATGTTGCCCATTGCGTTAATACTTCTTACAAGTTTCAACGATTTTTTCAAAAATTTTCAAATTTCCAGAAATTGAGGTGAGCAGTTTTCAAATGAACACATTTTTTGAGTCCCAAAATTTTTATATAGTGTATATTACAGAACTAGTTTTCTTAAAGTCATATTGAAGCTGATTATGAATATTGACAAACAACAAGTAAAACAAATAATTTCTTAATTTAGAAAATATGTGACTATCGATAATTTTATTTTTTTAAGTCACCCAAATTTAGCAACATTTTATACAAATATAACGACAAATTATCTAGATTAATATATCTCAATGAAATGATTGACTGTATTTTTCCTTAAATCAATTTAAAAATAATACTTGAAGATTAATTTTATTACGATTCTTTGACGAACGTTCGTTATCAAATGTTACGGTTCGAAATTCTATAAACATCGATGGACTTTGAATAAAAGAAATTCCCACGAGTAATTTATTTGGTTGTTTACGATAATGTAAATATTTTGGGAAAGTGGCGAAAGATCGATATTCTTATATAACATTTTATCAAAGAAACGCATATTATCAGCTTTATAAACCAGCTAATAATCCTATTGACTTCAATAGGATATAGTTTAGTTTCTTGGTAAACAAGTAATTACATTACAATGATTACAATGAAAACCATCTAATTAAGTCGTATAAACGCACGAAAGAAAATGTCTAGGGAAATTAAAGGAAAGACATCGGATGAATGTAGAAAGTAAAGAAGTAATGTTTTATTAAGATTTCGATCTTAATGCGGTTTTATATTTATGGATATTCATTTTTAATTATTTTTATCATTTCTATTATTGTTATTAAAAAGTTTTAATGACACTTATTATTAGATGTTAGTACTCTAAGAAGCAAAAATTGTTCTGTATCTAAATAATTAATTTTTATTAAACTAAATTTCTTGTATCTAAAATCGTGCGTTCTACTACCCTTGAAACGCAACGTTCTGAAAATACCAGCTGCTATAGTACTATTGATTCAGGTAGGTCGCCGACCGGTTACGTCATAAACGGCGTGTATTTACTATTAAATATTAGTGTTTACCCCATGCAAAACCCCTTTTCATTCATTCCCACCCCAACTTTTCTCTTTTAATACACATGTAAGCTCTATTTCTCTATGTCTATGTGCATCTACGTTACAGGGTTTGTTATTTTGCTAATAAGGTTTTACTGTGGTAGCCTAATTTAGTTTTTAAGTGTAGCTCTGATGAGAAATTATTCTTTCATTCATCCATGCACGACTTACCAACGACTACGAGCATAAACAACAATTCGATTTCACCCTTTTACAGTCGAGCTCTGCGATCATTGCTCAACTGAACCGTTTTCGCTACGAATCGAGGTGAACGACGCTGGACGTCGCCATGTGAGGAAGCGTCGGCGTCGGTTTTCGTAACTCACGCCATCTAACATTTATTTTTGCTACTGGGTAATATCAAAGAAATTAAATTAAATTTTTGAATAAAATAAACTTTATTTACATAAATAACATCTTTCTTAAAATAGAAATATTCATCATTATTTATAGGTTGACCTATTTTCGATCTCGATTCTACTTAAAAAAACCATTCAATATAATTAAAAAAATAAAGTATGAACAATCTAATATCACCAAAGACTAAGCTTTAGATGTGGCATTTTAGCCTGAGCTTTCGCCGTATCACTTTTGCCACTTCACAGATTGATTGATTGCTTTTCGTTATTTTTTTTTCAATAATAATACTCGTTAAGATCACTGACGTAATTCGCTAATTTCTTAAAAATCTAAAATTATTAACGGATACCGTTCTATTTTGGGACGGTTATTTCATTTACAAATTCACGACACATTTACTTCATGTTTTCTTTTTTAATTATGAAAATTCCTTTACGATTTCCGATAAACTTGTGTACGTTCCAATAATAAGACCGGCGAAACCGAAAACGATCAGCAACATATTCTTGATGAACATTAAATTGAATCTTAAGCCGTTTCTGGTGTGCCAAAACGTGCAGAGATCTATTAAAGCTGGGAAAGCTATTCCTAATGCTGAAAGACATAACGCTCCGAAGAGAGAGATGAAAAGTTCTAATTTCGGAACAGCCACTGCTAATAAAACTACAATAAAACAATGATTATTATAAAAATATAAACGAAAATTTGATTTTCTTACATGTTATTAAAACGATAACTGTACGAACTACGTATTCCCATAAACCTTTTCTACTATTTTTTTCTAATAACGGGCCGATGTATTCGTTCCATGCGATGTCAATAGCTACGTAACATTGGAGACCATAAGTAATGAAAATTGCTGCTGCATAAAGTGCTTTGATGACCTGAGCTTGACTGCAAAAAAATTAATTAATTAGTGATACTAAAAACTTGTTTGATGAACAACTTACATTTGATCACCGGGAATATTTAGTGTGATTGATCCCTGAGCTGCACCTCCATAAGTCAAATAACCCATAAAACCCATGAAAACATACAGTGTGATAATAATGGACATGGCAATGTTTAAAACTCCTATAGTTCCACCGAAAGCTTTAGGTGTTTTCATTTCATTTTCTAATGGTAAGATCTAAAACAAAATTTATATATTAATTTATATATAATAAATAAAATAAATGGAACTTTATTTTAAAATATTGTAATAATTGAAAACAATACTAAATCTATTTGATATTATCTGGACGTAATCCAAATTAATTTTACGCATAACTATAAAGCTAATTCAGCAGAAATAATTGATTTTTCCACGAAATTGGTTTCTCTTGTTTCAAATTTAATTTATACTGTATCAAATTCATATATTACAAATTAATTTTGATTGTTTTTATAACACTTTTTTATAAACATATTGTCATTTCTATTAAATATAAGTATATATTCGGAAAGTATTTAAAACTATAGTAGAGTTTATTTAATAGCACTCTTCAATATAGTAAATATCAAGAATTCGTCTATACGAGTAAATACCAGTGGAGGCACCACCTATTCTATTATATTTCTCTGTTCGATCAATCCTTAACAAAATCGTGAGGGCACCAGATGTTTATCTATCCATCACGATTTCAATTGTAGTAATGTTAAACGATCAATAACCGCTATATGAATGCAGTTTTCCTTAAATAATATGGAAAGTATATTTATAGAGCTCAAGCTTGTATCAAAATGAATTGTAGCAGCTGCTCATAATGATGGTTCACCTCACATTAAAAGTATTTTTTGATTTTTGAAATCGTTGGAATGTTATAATCGTAAATCGAAATTTTTACCTATTTTAATGATTCAGTAGTTATCTATGACCTTTCTGAGTAATACTTGTATTTTTCTTGGAGTCCTTTCCTTTATTAATGATCCCCGTGAATGAAGCACTACAGTTACGGTCAATTTATTCTTCTAATAGTACGTAATTCGGCTTCGTTGTGAACAGTGAGTGACTTTTAAATCGAAAATGGGTGACAAAAGCGAATTGAATATAATAAATAATTGAATACTTCAACAGCAGTGCAGAAACTTTTGGAAAATAAAAACATGGATGTGTCATTTTCTTGAGGTACTGTCGACTGTATCTTCATCTATTTCTTTAGTAGTCATATGCAAGATATGTAAATTAATTCTTACATTCAGCTCAATTCTTTAAGGTTGTGTTTTCAAATTTATTTAACGTACATGATACTAAATTTAGCAGGAATGTTCATGCCCTGCGATTAGCAATGCATTTGAAATTAATTGCGTTGACTTTGTCTTCTTCTTCTTCTTTGTGGAAGCCATAGACTCTTATTTTATCCATTCTGTTCTGCCTGCATTTCTTGTGTAATTATATTTCCATGATTTTGAAAGTCGTTCTGGCGACTTTTTTAATGCTGGGCTGCAACCTCTGTTGCGCATCCATCTTATTACATCTTTTGCCTCATAACTCTGCAGAATTTCTTTGTTTCTTCTCTCATCCCATAGTGTGTTTCAAGTACTTGTTCTCAAAATAGCCATCTAGCTGTTTCCATCTAGAGTGTATGTCACTATTGGTCTTATAGGCTTTATACATCTTAACTTTGGTCTCGGTAGATATGCAGTTGTTTCTCCAAATGGTCGTTCTTACAACTAGTAGTCCCGCTATTTTTACTGACTTGTTGATTTGTTTTCTCGCGTTGTGCTTGAACTCCCTATAAGACGATATACTCAAACAAGTGTAGTCTGTTATTTGCTCTATTATATTAGTTACTGCAATCAATATTATATGCACTTCTATGTTCGATATTCCGGTCCATTAAGATGTTGAAGAGCAGTGGGATTTGACTGTTACCCTGCCTTATACCCACATTTAAGGGTATTTTTTGTGCTTCACCTTATCTTTGATTTGTTGTATCTTTGTATTAATTGCGGTGATCTTGTTTATATCAAATTGTGCGATTGCTTCTATTATAGGTGCATTTCTTTATGCCTCAATTCTTTTATGACGTCCTATCTTGTCGAACGTTTTCGTTAAATCTATAAACCATGAGTATGCTTATTGGCTTCTTCTCCCCTACTTGATTTACTTCGAAGACCGCGTCGTGCGTTGCCATGTTTTTGCGATACCCTTGTTGTTCTTCGTTTGTTTGTGCTTCAGAATGTAATGTTGCAGGAGATGGGAAAACACCTATATGAATGTATTTAGAAGAAAAATACTTGGGTAATTTTCTGGATGTGAGGATGTTCCGTATTTAAAGAGTGGAATTGTAATTCTATTTGTCAAGCTGTCCGGAATTTGTGTGTCGTCCAATATTTTATTATGTAATTCCATGAGTTGTTCTGCTAGTCTTTCCCCTCCTCATTTAAACATTTAAACATTTAAACTTGGGGATATTATCTGGATTTTTTTTAGTTGTTTCATCGGCTACATCACTTCCTCCGTGGTGAATTGTTCTATTTCAAGGTTTCTACACCTTTTCCTTTTGTATATAGACCTGAAAGTAGCTGGCCACTTCTCCGCTAATATGTTATTTTGGATCACTGTTTCGTTTACTTTCCTTTTTGTTGCTCTGAGCATTCTTTAGATTCGTTTTTGAATTAGGTTGGCCATAATTCTTCCATTCTTTTTTTAAACTCCGCTAATGTTCTCTTTATATTGTTTATGTAATTGATGTATTGTAGTTTTTTAGTGTTTTGTTGGATTTATGCATTACCTCTGGTGTGAACCAGACTTTTTCTTCTTGTAAGGGGTATTAGCATTGATGGCTTGATTTATGTAGTTTTTTAAAACCTCCCAAGTATTATTTATTGTGTCTTGCTGCCGGATTGGTGTATCTTTGTAATTTTTTGAGCGACGTATCAACTATAGTTCTTAGCGATAGGAGGTTGTATTTTTTTATTGATGCTTTTATTCATGCTTATTTGTTTGGATTAATAATCTTTTGGATGTATTTTTTTTAACTTCGTTATGGTCCGGTGCAATGTGAAAATATTAAAGATCTAGAATCAAATACTAACATCTTACCTTGTTCGTTTTATAGAACTTATATAGAACGTATATAGAACTTTCTGTTGTAATCTGCCTGTGTGAAATCCAATAAGAAGAAGAGGTGTTATGAAACCAAACACACATACAGTGCATAAAAAGTTGTTACATTTAACCAAATATTTATTACTGATTTTTCTAGATTAGTTATGGTAGTGGATGGTACAAATAATTGGTACAAAAAATAATTGGTAAACTCATGATGGTCAAGTTTTAATTGATTTTTTTTACTGAAATACATTTTTTTCTCTATTTCTTTACTGCAAGTGCTTTGGCCACTTTTCTTGCATTCATTGTATAAGATAGCTTTGCTATTTTTGGCATTCCTAAATCTTGCTTGCACCTTGATATTTTTCGTTCTCACTCTTTATGATGCTCACTTCTTTACTAATTGTGAATTACCACAATTGTATTAGATGTATGTTGTTCTTCTGGACATTCAAACGATTTTTATCGAATGCAATTGATGGTGATAAAATACAAGTATCATTACATTTTTTAAAGATTATGGAAAAAATACTCTCCGCTAGGTTATGGGAATATTTAAGCGCCTACAGTACGCTTCCTAACTTTCAGTTGGGTTTCCGTTCTGGGTTACTAATATAACGGTTCTGTGTCTTGGTACAGCTCTTCTATTTGTGTGAAATTGATACAGTTTTACAATTCCGTGATCCTCCCTGATGCTTTAAGTATTAAAATATTAAATGTTAAAATTGATTTACCAACAGTAGGCTTTTGCTGGGGTACAAACATCAGATCAGTTTGGGTGAGATGCACTGATTCTCCGAATCTTTAGTTACGGTGATGTTTTGCATAGTTCTTGTATTTGTAGTGTCCAGAAAGCAAGGATTTAAGCTATTCAGAATTTTTACATAGTTGTTTTTTAGTTGTTTGTGTTTACATAGAATATATAGATTTATTAAAATGACAAAAATAACACTTTAATCCTTGATAGCAGGCTCTCTACTTCACCACACCCCTCTCTTATCTGATGCATGCGCAGATTGGTAGTATGCTATAATACAGTCGCGGATAAACATTCCGAGAGCTCGCACGAGTATTAATAAGTGTAGGTATACCAAAAAATAGCTTCATATAAGGAAGAAACTCAAATTCAGTCCAATTTTATGGCTGAAGACCAATTTAATGAAGTTATCAGAACGTTTTTAGGGAAGTAACGTGATAAAGAAATTTCGCTATGGACTTATAAAAGGATTGAAGAACCTATTACAGTTATTTACCAATTTAATCTTACTACTACGCAATAAAATACAATCTGATAGAAGTATGTTCTAAAAGTCTTTGATCGGTTGTTAAAACAGTGCATAAATTCAATCATAAATCGTGTTAAATCAATTAAGGTCTTGTAAAATTATATAAAATAATTTTTAGGAATATCTGTTTTTCAACTTACCACACCAATTGCTTCCAATGCAAACAAAACAGTTCCAAAGAATAAAGGCCAATATCTAACTTCACCGACTGGTTCTCGATTTTCGAAAGTAGGTCCATCCGAAATAATATAGTATAAAATAAATCCAAAGCTCACTAATGTGATCACATTAGCGCCCGTCGAGAACGGGGCCAAAAACTTCAAATTCTTGATATAGTTAAGTAAAATGAGAGGTAACAAAAACATTAACATGTATAGCTCCAATTGTATTTGATCATCATATTGGTCCACGACGCTTTTAACGTTTTCAGCTATAAATACTATATACACGCAACAAGTTCCTATTTGGTATATTAATAAGAACGTATTTACTATATGCCTAAAAAATAAAAAAGGAATTTTTTAGATTCAAGATTTTTATGATGTGATAATTTTTAAATATTACTTACGGTGCAAATCTAGCTATTTTTTTAAGAAGTTCTGGGCCTTCGTTGAAAGCGGCTCCCGCCGTTGCCGGATATGTTAAACTCGGTTTTTTGTTTCGTTTACATAATTCGTATTCGGCTTTAATCAATATATGGACGCTGTATGTACAAATTACTCCTATTACAATTGTTCCTATAAAACCCAGGATGTACCCTGCGTGATGAAAAGCGTTTGGCATTGCGAGAATTCCCGTTCCAAGACTTCCTTTGAGTAAATGGAATAATGTTTCTGAATTTCTAAATAAAAATAAAATCAGTTAATAATACAAGTTCACATTCTTATAGACACGAGAAAAACAAAAATATTTTTTTGATTATTTTGGATATCACATTTCAGATTACTATCAAGATATATACAAGATGTCCAAGATAATTGGCTTAATATGGGTAACTTAGAAATAATTGGATATACAGAGTTGATTATTATCATATTAATATAGACATACATTTTCATGTATTTCAACTATTTCTTTTTGTAAAGTCTAATTTTAATGGTGTGCCACTTTGTTTTATGTGTCATTTAAGAAAAAGTCTCTCAAATACTCTGATCAAACAGTTCAACATGTAATTCCTAAGATTTTCGATATAAATCGAAATTGTTTGAAAATCCCTAAATTAACATAGCAACTGTAGCAACGACCTGGATGCTCTCTTATTGACCTGGATGCCGCCGGATGTCAATTGTTGACAAAAAAAAATAGTTGTGCTACATAGATACTGGATTTTTTAGGGAAAAATAATGTATTATAAACTAGTTACAACAGACTATTTCAGGTTATATAGGTGATATTAGGTAATATGTTTTCTAGATTATATTATTGGTAGAATAGATATACGGCGATATTTGGTAATGAGCCTGCGATCTCCAGACTTAAAAATATTAATAATTGTATGCAGTTTCCACGAAGAGGAAAAGACACTATGATGTACTGACATATCAGATATGATCAGAGGGCTGGCAAGTGTTTTCAAGCAGCTGTTAATGAAAATTGGGCGTATCTGATCCTGGATTATTAAAGGAGTCCACACCAATACCAGTTTTTAAATCTGTAATAAATCAAAACAGTTAACTTAAACCATGTTATTGCTAAGAATCTTTTGATCTGGAATAGTTGGGAAATAGAACACAAACTTATTGCCAACTTCCAGAGAAAACGTCATTATTACGGACAACCGTGGGCACTGCAAAACGACGCCTTTCCTGGTTCAGGTAGGACAACATTTATTAGCGTAAAGTAATTGGAATCAAGTCGTCTCATTGTCAGTATAAACCTGTGGTCCTTTTCTCACCCAACGAATTAATGAAGCCCGAGAGAACCAGGTGGGATAGCCCCTAGAAGTGAACCTTGTACTTGGATAAATTTGTGGATAATATCATAAACGTAAAATGTATTCGCTGAAAAATTCTCCAAGATTCTGGAGAAATCTAGATTGTTAAGGTAATCATTAATTTCATTCTGCAAGCGTGAAATGGACAAGTTCCTCAAATATTAAAGGAATTTCACATTCAGGGACGTATATGAGACCGCGTATAAGTATCTGACCATGTCATAGGCGGATTCTAGGGCAGGAGATGACTGAGCCGACAAGATGGAACTGAATTTATAGATAATTGTCGGAATAATTAACAAACTGATTACTTCCACACATTTCGCAAGCTAACAGTAACACCCCGTCAAAGAAAAGCTAAAGAGTCCGGGTAATGAATCGTTTCGAGAAAAATGTTCAGGTTAAATAGTCGGTATAAGAGGTGGTGTTATAGCTAAATGCTATGATACCACTGCTATAACATCTAACTCATAAAGGTTTCTATGACAATGTCAGAAAACCAAAACTCAATTTATAGATGCAAGTCCAATGTGTTTTATAAAGAAACTACACTTTTGTAAGATGACTTCAATAACCATGATGTGTCTTCAAACTTCGAAAGTTCACTAATGACTTTGTCAAAATTTTCTATGAAAATTTGATATGGTTAACTATTTGTGAGAGAAATAAATATGTCCAAGAAAGGAATTAAGAACTTTATCATAAGATTCTGAAATGAAGAGCTTCATCTTTCTTGTTAGCGAATAATGTTTGAGTATACATATAGTTGGGAACATCGTATACAATAATATTTTTTGTCGAAACGGCGAGATAACTCTTTTATAATTTGTGAGAAAACAATTTGTTAAACACACGTTTATCAAGAAAATGTATTTGATGGATTAGATGCTGTTTTGCAACATCAACTCATATTGTCGCTGCCAAGCCAAAATGGTATAAACAACATTTACTTTTATTACGTAGTATGGAAATAGGTATTTGCGCAAACTTGAAACGAATATTGTAGCGATTGAAGTTTGCGGTTATGCCGCTTTAATTGTTGGATGCAGATTTAAAAATCCTGTTGAATCGTGTAGCTTACTAAAAAGAATGGTATGCTATTTTTGCTTGGCAGCGACGATATATGGACAAGGGTTGACTAATTAAATGGTAGGTGATTTAGATTATACTGAAAAGTGGCCAAATGCTACAATATCATAACTGCAACATCTAACTTATAAACATTTCTATCATAGTAATACTGTCAGATAAAATCGATATTTTGTGTCTTCTTATTGACATTGAGGTAACTGAAACTGAAGAAAAAAATAGTAGGAAAATATGACTATCAAAAGATTAAGGACAAGACAGTTATGACAATAAGACATGTTTGCTGTGAAATAACATAATAATAATATGTTTTTGCTTTAATACAATCTGAGTCAAACCTAAATAACGGTAATAACGAAATAACAGTAATTGAATAGTTAATAATGAATTCCATAAATTTCACGTTTTAGATACAAATAATAAATAAGTGCTACATAAAATAAGCAAGTATTAATGCCGAATAAGTATCTTAAAAAAGTTTTTTATTTAAAGGGTTCAGTTATTTATTACATAATAATCGTGGTGTTAATTCTAAAATTGATAATTCATTGTCTGGCGTTGTAGACAATAAAATTGTGATTTTGTAATAAACTTTGAAATATTGATGGCAATGATGATTGATGAATTTTGTGGGGAAACTTTTTAAAAATTCTTTTAAACATTCTTTTTAATATCATTTTACAAAAATATTTGCTTTATTTATACAATTTATTTTCATCTGTATTCATAATAATACTACTCAAATTGGTCTCTACCTACGTTTCGAAATTTCTAAGAAATTAACATCGTTAAATAATTATTTTGAGATTTTCCAATTTCACACATGTCTCGGTTATTTTTATCTTTCAACTTATAACAACATTCAACTGTTAATTATTCGCTACCTCTTCGTATACGTTTTTTTGTTTGCTGTCCATTTAACATAAAATTAACGTGGTTAATTAATGTGTATTGTATAAATTTGACAAAAATCAAAATGAATCATCTAGGTTTTTTTTTTATTAAAAAATAAATTTTCTACTATGTGAAGTACCCGATATCTATTAACATAACTGCGTATGACAGTTAAATTACAAAGCTGTTACGTAAATATTTTTTTGCAATTATTTTCTATTTCCAGAACTGTTTATTTCTTGATAAATTATAATGTTTACTTACGATGTTGGATGTTCAACTTCTCTATGACAATACGGATCGTAATTAGCTTCCATTGCCTTTGCTCCATTTTCGATGGTCGTCAGTTGTTTATTGGCCGTCTTTTGTTTTTCAGATTTGCTGTAAAGAAGCAAAAATGTGCGGTTAAAGAATGTTTATGGCTTCGTTAAACCGGAAGAATCAATAGTCGCGTTAAACTCGCACCTTCAACTCCCTTGAACTTGTTCTTTTCTTTTTTATTATCGTTTAATTTCAAGTATAAGAGGTGAGTGTACTATTTTTTTACTATTTATTTTTAATATAAACTTAATAACTATAGTATAAGTCAATGTATAGACGACTTAAGAGATAAGATTAAAACAATGAATTTTTTTTCGTTGTTAAGTCAATCAATTTTCTACTAGAAAATAGTTTTGACAGAACAAACATTTTATCTGTTGTGAATATTGGTTAAATAAGTAATTTATCAAATCGAATAATAAATATAAACTGTAAATAACAAGGTTATTATTGACTTTACACAAAAAATGAAGTATTACACAATAAAAAATTAATAAAGAACATATCAATTTTTTCGTAATTAGGGATACTAATTCCCATCATTGTTATAACTGTTAATAAGTATACAATAATTTAATCTCTTATCGCTACTTAGTAATATTTCATGATATTGCCATGTTGCTAATAGATTGCAAATACTATTTACATTAAAATTTTGCGGTAAACACTTTAGCGAGATAAAGGAAAACGTGGTTTTGTAAGTACACGAGTCTTTCATGTTTTTTTATTGATTCTTGTTTTTATTCGAATTTCTATAGTATACATGATATTAGCGAATAAATTCTTTCAATTAACATATATTGGCAAGATTTGGATAAGGAATATATATTTCTAAAACAGTTTTACTCGATGTGATTTAATTATGGCTTAATCATTACCTTATAAAGCAATCTTATAAAATATTAAAATTTTCGATAACGTTAAAATTTATTATTTATTAGATAATAACTATTTTCGAGAACACACTATTTTTATGGGAAGCTGATAAAATGATTATTGACCTGCACATTACTAAAATCATGATGTGTGCGATTGTGATCAACTTCAACAATTTTTCATCATGATAAAGGTGATGATGACGGTAATATACCCACCAAATTGCAATAAAGTTTCTGAGAATATCGGTTCATATCAAAGATATCCGCGTAGAGTATTAAAGTCCTAATATAAATCGCTCCGAGATATGTGAAAACTTCTAAAAATGTGGGATGTGGCTTGCTTAATATGGAGGAAGGTCACAATTTTTGACACGAAATGTCTTAATTTGTTGCCTAGTTTATGTTTACTTTATGTTTATTCAAAAAAAATTGTTTAATCAACCAATTTTAATCATTTTATTTTTTGATAGATAAAATAATTCTTTTTAAACATCTGTTACTCAGTTTGCTTCAACATTACTTCTTCGCCTAAGCTTGTTGGATCTACTTCCAAGTAATTACATACTTTTACAGAGGTGATTTGGTCTTTTGCAATCTTGTTAGTTACGGTTTTGGTTCTGTTTTGGAGCATGACTTTTCTTTTTCCTTATTATTTCTCAATCCTACTACTTTAGCAACTTTTCAATAAACCAGCATATCTTTGTTTCGTGGATCTCAAAAAGGTATTCGACAGAGTGAGGCTCTCTGACGTGCTGAAACTCCTCATTGCAAAAGACATACACTTGAACATCATAAAAACGATCAAACAACTAAACATAGATATCAAGACAAAACTCCGAACGGGGAAGGGACAGAAATTAACATCAACGCTAGAATCCCACAGAGTGGCAGCCTTAGTCCACAACTGTTTAACATGCTAATGGACAGTATAATCAGAGGCCTAGATGGAGTAAATGAAGAATATAGGATGGACTACAACATCTTCTCAACGGATTTAACGAAACATGTGACAAGGTATAATTGAAGATCTTTAACCAATAAAACGAAAAGCATAGTCATCACAAAATCACCCATTGGATGTAAAATAGTAATGCAAAAGCAGATCATTGACCAAGTATTTCAATTCGTCTATGCCATGCTATAAAGGCAATAAGAATATCAGGTACACTTTGCAACCCAATATGGATGAAAAAACATCTATCAACGCAAACAAGGCCAGAATATACAAGGCATGCGTAAGGCTCGTCCTCACGTATGCGGCGGATCCAAGAGCCGACACAGCTGAGACAAAAACATGACTGAGAACATGAGAATGACTTTAATGGCTTGTAGGAGAATCGCAGAAATCAGATAAAAATGGAACATCCCGGACATCGTCAAATGAGTCCGGCAGAAACAACGAGAATGGAATAAGCATGTATCAAGAATGGATTAGTCGTGCCTGGCAAGATGTAAAAGATATAGAAAAAGAGACACTAAAAGATTGATAGGAAGATCTTCAAAGCGATAAAGACTGCTAGACCTCCGTAGCACAGGAGAAGCAGAACCAGACATGATGAAGCGTCATAACAAGTCATAAGGCTTTCAATAAGAAGAAGAACCAATTCAATTAATATTACAATAGGTAACATTTTGGAAGAACATATACCTACTAAATGCTATAGTATTTTATGTAGTACAAGAAATACACGGAATCAAATCGAAAATCTGATTTCCCCTAGTAACTACACCATATTCGAGAAATATGTACAACAGTATTCCGTTGCATTCCTCCGATTTAGCAGCATAGTTTCCTGCATGGTTCAAGTACTGTTTAAAGCTTAAATCATTTTATTCGGAACTGCGAGAGCATTGTACTCTTCCAGCAAGAAGTCTCATTCGTGTACAGACAGTACATGTTATAAAAACTTTTCTATATGATATTTTTTGTTTATTGACAGCCCTTAAGTTAAATTGTATAGACACAATAACCTGCAATGATCATGCTATGATCATGCCAGTAGACGCTTTAGTATTAATAGAAATATCATTAATATAACATAGTTTCAAACCTGCGCAACAAATGGACAAGTAAAGATGACATTTGTTGCACAATATTTATTCCTATGCCTAAAACATATTGCGCAATCTTCGAAACTCATTTCGTATTAAAGATGTAGATGGGAAATACATTTTCACTAAAATTTGAATTTGTAAAGATTAGCAACCCATGCGATTTTCTTTTTCTGCTTGAATATATACAACAATTTAAGTATAATCATTGAGTATCGCTTACTCAATGTTCATACAAATAATACTTATGAAAACAACAAATTAATGCCCAGACTACGATGTTTTATCTTTAATGAATCTGTGATGAGTAATTGAGATCGATTGCGGTCGAGGTACTGTAATTGAAACCATTTATTCGTATACAAACAACTATTGGACACCAAGGCAACAATGTTTTATTGCTTATAGAGATAGCATTCAAGGTCGCTTGCGGTCAAGGCATAACGTTTGAGACCAGCTGTACTCAAATAAATATCTACTGTATATCGAGACAATGAAATTATATCTTTGATGAGTAATGGAAGTAGTGGTTGTAGCCGAAGCGCTGCAATTGGGGTCATAGATACTCATATAAATAATTATATCATTTACCGAGGTAGTGAAGTTATATGTTTGGTAGGCTATAGATATTCAATAACGATTCCATTGTCTTCATGTTTTTATGGCTTTTGAAGATTTCTACTCCATATGTTTACTGTGGTGTTATTGTGGATTTTATTATCATTATTTTTATTGTTGTTAGAAGCGGTGACTTCTTTTTTATGACGAAGTATAGCCTATTTGCCATTCTTTTCGCAATGCTAAGACTCTCCGAAACATGTTTTCAGTTTCCCGTTAAATGTTATACTTTAGGATGTTCAGGGATTTACACTGCATATTGAAAAAGATCTGCCTATCGTAGCCGCGATATCGTATATAAATATATTATACAACAGAAGGAAAATTACGATGGACATAACTTTTCACAATTTTCAGAAACAAAGCAGTCACATTGACTAAGTTCTGTTTCAGGTTGGCCTAGATCATCTTTTCCAGCAGGAGATCTCACCAGATGGAGTCGTAAGCCTCCTTCGACATTTAATAGCAACACAATCGTCTAGTGTTTCCTTTCGAATAAATCTCAAGAAAATTGTAGAAGTGTTTGAATATACTTAGTCATCTCGGATATATTTGGATGAATTATCTGAAAATTACTGGTTGCGCATTAAAAATCTCTGGATATATTTGAAAGTTTTTAAAAGTATTTTAAAATGTTAAAAACTTTAAAAATTCTTCACATAAATTATAAGTTCTCTGGCGACCAGTCTTTAAAAAATCGTATATATTATTAGATAACCTTAGGAAATTATGCATTTTGTAGTAACTGCTTGAAATTGTTATAGATCGTTATAAATTTTATGTAAATTTTCTAAAATAATTCGGAAAACTAAACACACCTGGAAATCTGTGGAATTTTCTGGATATCCTTGAGAATCTTTAAGAATTCTTCGAAAATCTTAAAACTGTTTGGAAAAATTTAGAAATTTTCCGATGAGTTTACAAATTCAATACATTATATTTACAAATTAATATATTTGGAAATTCTTAGAAATAGTTTTTAAGAATTATTGGATTTTCTACACTGGTAGGGATCAGTGTAGAAATTGTTAGAAATATCTGGATATGTTTGGAAATTCTTAAAACTTTTTGAAAATTATTAAAATAATCTCACTGTAAATATAGCAACTGAAAATTGAATAAGACACCAAGAGTGCAATAACTTTACTAATTTCAAAATTGTAAATAGGCTGATAACATTTCTTAACACTTATATGGACTTACTAAATATAATACTGCTCGTTCATCAAAATTGACTTATAGTGGACCCTCTGATTGGTTGCCGATAAAAAAAGCCCATAAAACTTTTACATCTATTTTGCGTGTATTGGCACTATAATTTAGTATGGCTCCTATATAGAATTAATTAACCATCAGTCTCCTGACTGCAGACAATGATATATCTTTTCCCAGTTTTGAGATTGTTAGCACCATCGCCGTTTTCGGCTTCCTAATTTGTAATCTTCTATTTTTGGGAAACATCCTCAGCGCCTTACTTGGAGTGTCTCTTCTTAGATTTAGTTTGTATTATGTGAACATAAAATTTCTCAAGTACACTTTGTTTATGATTTCTTCGTCGTTTAGATTACATCTGATCTCACTCACAATTTGAAACATTTTCCATTGTTTACCATTTGTTTTTTCATTACAGAGTTAAAAACAACCTTGAAACCATTCACTACTCGAATTGGATCTAGAATCGAATTGTTGACACTCAAGTTAGAGTACGTAAACAAACGTAATAACATCCTTTTTTCATGGGTATTGTTAATACATTGTAGCCATAAGTAGGCTAAGATGTTGCGCAACCAAGGCATACATTATAATCGGCAACATGCTCCCGAATTCAACCCCAACCCCCAAGTTCACTCTTTCTTAGGTGACGACGACTTCTCCGCGAAAGTGAATAAATATAATTCAGCAACATCTGAATTCAAGATCAGAATTGGCATTATAATAGAGATCCATTGTAATCCAAGCATGAGAAAAGTCGTCAGTAGTACCCACATTTTTTTTATAGTAATGGTGGTTTGAGTTCTTAGATTTTATTTTTCGTTTTGAGTCTTCAACGGCAGTTAAACATTATTGGTTATGCAGGCACGTTTATTTTCTGAGAATGATAACTTATCAGATATATGCACATCAAAAAGATCTGTTATCAACGAATTAAAAACGCGACCTTATCATTTTTATCATCATATCTTACAATACTTAAGCACGATTCTTTCAGGTCATGTAAAAAGTCTTCGTAACAAAAATCAAAACTGTTTAATGTTATTTGGATAAAAATTATTAAATAAGTGTTAAATAAGATTCTTGTGTTGTATAGTATATATAGGTCACAATATAAATAGCTGCAATGGGGCCGTTACCCTCAATCGAATAAAAAGACCGTCTTTCATAAAATCGATTAACTATGTAAAAATAGAAGGATTGGTAACATTTTCAGATCCTAAAATTATTTATTTTTTGCAATAATTAATAATAAAATTCAAAATCACCTCTATAAAAGCTTTGGTGACGTTATGAAGATTTCGCATAATATCAAGAAGACACAAACGTGCATCGTTCGGATCTCTTCTTCTAGCGCATAAGATTCTCGTGGCATCTCGCTCATGCATCTTTTATTGATTTTTATTCCAACCAACGACGGTGACGTTTCGAAAGTTTTTTCAAAATTTAATTATTTTTTTTTGAAAAACTAAAGCCCAGTTTGAAAATAAAAAATTATAAAAGTCTTCTATTTTGCTAAACTATCGAATAAGCTAATAAAAATGGCCCCATTAGCAGATGGTAACGAACAAACGGAAATTTTCAAAAAAATCTCCATTTTCTTCAATTTCAATTTTATATTATTCGCTTTGAAATTATTTCTGTTTTGATTTGCTTACATAGATAACAAAGATTCTTAGATAAACGCTTATTTTTTGTAATAAACTTCGCCTCTTCTTAAATGATGTTTGATTTGGAATATGATTTAACATTGCGACATGCTAGTATTAATGATTAATTGTTTCAACTTAACTAAAAGAATTTAGAGTATTACTGCTGTCACATTTTATCAACTACATATAGATAAAAAACTTTTAACGTTTTTGACAAAGGTGAAATCTAACAAATATCTATCGATCTCATAATAGTACTTAGCAACACTCAATCACAAAATATAATTTCCGCGATTTTAAAATATTAGTTAATTTCAAAAATTCTTTGTTAAAACCTAATGATTTTTTCTTAATAAATTTCTTTACTATTAATTTAAATTAATTAAGAAAAAAATCTCCTATAAAATAATTTAAAAAAAATTATATAAAAGTCGTACTTACTTAAAATGTTCATCTAGAACGAAAGCTGGATTGTCGTGTGAACTGCTCATGTTGTTGGTTTTTTAATAAAACATAAGTCGCGATCTAAACCTGTGAGCAGAAGAGAACGGCAATTACTACAGATAGATGATAAGGTTTGAAACGAATTTATATAGCTATATCGTTATCAGGATTTGTTTCATTATTGTCATTAATAAAGGTGTCGATTAAGTGTGAAAATTTGTAAAAAAAAATATAAAACAACGGCTTGTTGATGTGGGTCATGATCGCACTCGAACGCATTCTTACTTCAAGATTAACCGATCAAAATGCAGGTCCAAGGGTAAATCAACAAAATCTCGTGATGAGAACGATCACTTACAATTACAATTTTTTTTTGCGATTAAGTAAGGATACGGTTCAGATTTATATTTTATTACTTTTTACGGTGTGGGCAGGATTAGATTTAATGGTTATTTTAGATTTACTTAAAATCTTTATAGCTTTGATACAGGATCAATAAATTATTTATAGAATCGATAATAAAAGAATGCAATAATTTTTGTTAATAAGCCCACAACTCCAGGTATTAATCCCTATAACAATAATTTATCATTGTAAATATTTTTTGTAAGAAACGAATAGGTATAGACAATGAGAAAATGATTTATTGAAATTCTAATTGTGATAAATATGTATATGGCCGTAAACAGAAAATAAAGTAATTGAATTTCATAAATATTTTTAGAACAATTTCTTATAAACGATTTTCCTTCGCATTTTAATGTTGTTGGATTCAAGAAAATGACGTTAATAAAACTATTTACAATTTTAAATGATTAGTATTAATATGTTAAGTCATATTATTACTTAAAATTGATTAGAACTCATTGAATTTATAATTCGTAACGATCACGTTACAATCATGTTTTTTATAAATATGTAAATTCCATTTTATTATGATAATCTTATTCTAATGTTATAGAAATAAACGTAAACATTGTATTTTTTTATTATTATGTTATTAGTGTGCCAAATGGATAATGAATTAGATGTTTTTTTTTACTTGTTGTTCATTCAAGTTGTTTTCAATTAGTATTTATCTGGTTAATCTATATTAAGTTAAAAAAATATTGATTAATTTGTACCACAAAATTAATGGAATTGTTTAATTTGTATATCAAATTAAAGTTTATAATTTACAATTTAGAGTTTTTGAGATATTCAACAACAATATTCTTGAGATAATCCAAGACTCAATATCTATTGCGTATAAAGATGATCTTTATTAAACTCTAGCGCAGTTTAACTATACTCTAACATAGCGATTTCCAATTAGTTTTAACAATGGATCTCCTAGATACGTTAGTGTTTGTCATAGATCCTTATATCTTAGTAACATCGTTGAGCACGGACTAAATAAAAAACGTGTTACAAGTTACGTAATTCAGCATCCAAATTAAAAAGTCTCTTTCGTGACTTATTTTTTACTTGATGCAGTGGCGACAAATATTGATCACACAGATATGTGTTTGGAAATAGAATTAAAATCTGCAAAGTCAATAAAATCTACTTTCTGATCCTCCGAATGTTTTATAATAAACTGGTTCCGAATTCATGTCTCACTTCTGTCAGGAAGGGATGGATTTATTCTCTGAAAGATTTTGAAAATGATTCATGATGAGAACTCAGTTGAGTTTCGCCCTTTAGAAATGTAATCCCAGACATTTCTAAAAACGGCTACAATTTACATGATGAAATTCATCTGAAATTTCGAATGCTTCGTTTCAAAATGGCATCTTTATTACCCGTATGTTATAATTGCTATACAGCTAAATAATTTTAATTAGCTGAAGTACCTGCACTTCATTTTCACGGGTTGTCAACTAAGAATATTACTTTAACAGTAATGTTTTTGGCAGTATCGATTTTTTTTAAGCGATTTTATTTTAAATTATAAAAATAAGGAATCTCTTGAAATGCCAAGTACCAAACCAAAAATGAAATAAAAAACCTTACAGATTTCTTTCGAGAGAAATGTGAAACTATGCATGCTTTTAAACTGGTAGCATACATAGTTTAAACTAGTCTAAACTAACAGCATTTCTGCTAAAGAATTTCCTTTCGCTTATTGAAATTTGAACTTTTACTTTTTGTAATTTAATTATCTACATAATATTTACAATTAGGCCATGAACCGCCAGTATTGTGTTCGTGGACCCCCAGGGGTCCAGGCACCCGTTATTGGAAATCGCTGCTCTAACAGGTGTGGTTCAATAATCAATAGTTTATTTACGACTCACGGCTGAATTATGTTTTATTCTATAAACAGAAACTTAGTTGCAATCTTTTCCAGTTCCATTCTACGTCTTCTACATTTTCCTTCATATTAATAACCATCTACAAAACGAAAAGCTTTAGCTTTTAAGTTTACATACGTTGTTTCTTTCTTAATTGTTGATGCATACGCACTATTAATATTTATTGCCGTTTTCACATAAAACATCAGGACATTTTTAACCCTTTGAGGGATTTACAAGTCAATGTTCTGTTTTTCTTAAATAATACGCAAGAACAACTCACCTTTATTATTTTCACATCTGACTTATATTTCGCCATTATATTGCTATCACTTAGGTTGGTTTCTAAAAAACTATTTCTAAGCTTTGAGATGTTTTATGTAGATACGTTGAATCATGTCTCATCAAGAATTCATCCTTATTGTCATTCTTGTTATGAAAAATCTACAAAAACCAAAATCTTCCATACCTTGGGCACATTCTTAGAGGATACAGATACAAAATCCTTCAGCTTATAATAAAAGGTGAAATCGAGGACCGTAATTTAATTGGAAGGAAGTAAATGTCATGGCTAAGAAACATTCGGAATACGGAGAGCCGAACAACTATTTAGATTAGCCGTGAACAACTCGCCGATGAGATTGCCAACGATGGGGGGGCCTAATATGGCACCGAAAAAAGAAAGAAGAATTATGTTTTACAATAGTATAAGCTTTTGAAATAGAGTCTACAAAAACAAGGTTCGTAAAGTGCAAGAGTCGCAGTCGTATCATGCAACTGATGCTAGCTAGCATGTAGAGACATACATAGAAGCACTCAATAATATCAAATTTTTAAAACAATTTAGAAAAATGCCTAAGCATTTGACATTAAGGGGAACAAGATGCTGATTAGAAAAAAAAATTAACAGTTATAATGGACGTAAGGAAGGCAATTCAAAGGTTTGCAAGAGTAATTGACATCAGCATGACGACAGTCAAAAACCTGAGCTACGAACATAAAAGTAAACGTACTCTTAAAGATCCAATTGTACAATTCGGCGGAGATCTCCCAAAGAAATTTTTAGTAGCCCTAGAAAAATATATACAGGGATTTTTAGTAATGTAACAAACAACAAAAGGATTTTAAATGCCTCAAAATATCTATGGAACCCCCTACGATAATCCAATATGTTAAGATGGAATACTTGGCCTTTCGAAAACCCATTCAGGACCATTTGGGAATAGACCCCCATTTCATAAGGAAAATCAACATCAAGATGAATCATTGTATCGACATGCAAAATTGTCGCATTTGGGTGGCAACAACAATCCATATGCCTCCTCAGTTACAACTGCATCCAGATAAAGTTTTAAGTGTTTATAAAAACGACGGTGGTGTCAACGTAATTGCCACTGGCTAGGGGTGCAGATTTATTCTCTGCACTACAAATGCTAACTACTTATGCTCCATACATAGTCATACATTTTCATTCCATTCAATGTAGCAAACAAAATATGGATAAATATTTTTATCAAAATTGAATAAAATTGAATTGTGTTAATAAATTATAACGGACCATTTAACACCTACGAATGCACCATATAACAATGAAGTGTTGCTCGTTGTCATATTTATTCTTATGTAAATTAAGGAACGAACTTGCAGGAATACAAGGATAACATGAAGTAAGTTAAAAAAAATTAAAAAGTAAAATTGCGGAAATTAGATAACAGCTTGCGAAAGACAATTTAAATGCGAATTCGTAATTGACTTTACACATATTCTTATAAAGTACCTCAGCTCTGTTTGTTTCACAAATATCTCGGATATGCCAGAAATTGTAAGAAGTTATTGTAAATGTAATGTATATGAGAGATGAAAAATTAATTGGTCTATAATGCATCTATATTGGTCGTGCTACGTTTTTAAAAATATTTTTAATGTTATCGTGTTCCGAAATCTTATAAACTAATTAATGTTAACAAATTTGGAAATTTCCATTCTATAGTGTAACGGTAAACCATGTTATTAAAAAAAAATTATTTGTTATCTTAACGTTGGTTATAAGCTATCTATCATCCTATCAAACGGTACCAAAGGGGGTCAATAAAGATTATATTAAAGCATAGTATAGATAATTAGTTGAAAAATTTTTTCGGTCGACCGTCATAGCAAGATACTTCATAGAACTATTTCAGTTAATTCTATGTTAGTAAGTATAGGTTTATGACTTGAACGCACATAGTGAGAGAAAAATATTTGACCTACTTTTAGAAAATTTAATATGAACAGAATGTACTGAAATAGGAATTTGAATCAATATACTTTATATCTTAAATTATACTTTCACCCTTCAAAAATTAGATGAAATCTTATCAAATACACATGCCCACAGTTCTCTCCCAAAACAGATTACCAATTGCATATGCAATTTTTTCCGAGTTAAGGAAAAAATGAAATGTGTCAAATATGTGGAAAAACTAAGAAAGAACCTAGCTCATTGTTTTGGGGCACCCCAAAAGTTGCAAATTTCTCAAAGTTTATTAATTCATTGTATGTTAACCCGCTGATTAATCTATCCCAGAACTTAAGAGTATATCCGAGGAGTTATATTCACTCACATCGGCTTTTGCTCAAGAAGTTGCTCTGTTTAAGAACAAGTTTAAAACGGAATATGATTCTTTTTTAATTTTTCAGATTAATTATTTACAGTTAGTAATGATATAGGTTATAGGGTTATATACCTATAACGTCCATCTTTATAAAACAGGAAAATTAAAACTATCGAAAAACATTTTTAGCACCCAAATAGCAATTATTAGAAAGGCA